ATTATGATTTTGAGTTACACTATCATTAAGGGAAGGCAAACGTAGTGGCCGACGCTTTGAGTGGGAAATCTGTTAGCAGTACAGTTAGTAAAGGAAGATGTTGGGCATAGTGGGCGAGTTTGACTTGCATTTTCGCGAGTCCGTCGAGTTGGCCGTTTTGTTCACTATAGTTGCACAACCTACTCTAGTGAGCCGAGTTATAGAAGCACAACAGGGTGATTGTGAAGCGGAATCTATCCGAGGAAAGATATCTAGCGGAAAGGTAGAGAAGGAGTTAAATGTTTATTCTGACTCGAGTGTAAGGTATTTAGATTGTCTCAGAGTCTTGTAGAGAGGAGGTACTCCGAGAGTTCTATCATTCATGCCTTGCGGTACACTCATGAGGCACAAAGATGTACCACGATCTTAGTCTCCAGTTTTGGGGGAGGGAGATAAAGAAAGATGTAGCCTTGTTTGTTTCAAGGTGCCTTACTTGTCAAAAAGTGAAGGCTGAGCACCAACGACCAACGGGTTTGTTGCAACCCTTTCGTATAGCCGAGTGGAAGTGAGAGCATGTCATGATAGATTTTGTTGTGGATCTTCCGAGGACTCAACGGGGTAATGATGCCGTATAGGTAACAGTCGACCAGTTAATCAAATCAGCACAGTTTGTACCTATGCGCAAGAGTGATTCGATAGATTATCTCATTGACCTACATGTTAGAGACATAGTTCGAGTTTATGGAGTCCCTATGACTATCGTCTCGGATGGAGATTAATGTTTCATGGTTCGGTTGTGGCAGAGCCTACAAAATGCCTTACACTAAGTTGACGTTTAACACTACCTATCATTCTCAAATTAATGGGCAGTCTGAGTGTACCATTCAGATTTTAGAGGACATGCTTCAGGCTTGCATTCTCGATTTTAAGGGGTCATGGTAGAGACATTTACCCTTGGTGGAGTTTGCCTATAATAACAATTTTCAAGCGAGTATTGGTGTGACGCCTTTTGAGGTCTTGTATGGCTGACGACTGTGTAGATCACTAGTGTGTTGGGCCGAGGTAGGTGCTGCACCTATGTTAGGCCATGAATTAGTCCAGGAAATGAAGGAGAAGGTTGTAAAAGGTTGGTTTCGGCTCACAACTGCTAGAAAAGCTATGCCAACCGTAGAAGGAGGCCCTTGTCTTTTGAGGTGGGAGATCATGTGCCTCTTAAAATTTTGCTGAGACGGGATTTGATGAGATTCAAAAAGAGCAGGAAGTTGTCTCCTAGATTTATTGGGCGCTTTGAGATTCTAGAGCAAATTGGGGAGGTAGCTTATCGTTTGGTCTTGCCGCTCTAACTTTTCAGGGTTCATGACGTGTTTCATATTTGTATGCTCCGAAAGTATGGACCTGATCCTTCGCATGTGTTGGATTGGATTAAGTTAGAGGTAGATAAGGATGCCTCAAATGAAGAGAGACCAGTTCGAGTGTTAGATACTCGGGAGCAAGTCTTGAGGGGCAAGACTATTCTTTTGGTTAAGGTATTGTGGCGACACCATGGGGTTGAGGAGGCGACTTGGGAGCGTAAGGCGGAAGTCCGTGAAAAGTATCCAGACCTATTTGTTGATATTTGAGTTTGGTATTGAAAATTTTCTCATGTTGTAATATATAAACATTGTAAGTGTTTTGGAGATTTGAATTATAATATTTTGTGTCTGTTTTATCTTTGCTGCTAGTATGGATTGTCAATGGGATTAAAACTGGTGATTATTGGTTTGATTTAAATTTTAGAGACGAAATTTCTTAAGAGGGGAGATTATAACAGTTTTGGTTTAGACCCGACCCTTTTTGTACTCTTAGATCTGGGATTCAGTGCCTTTAATTATTGTTTATGTCCTTTATCTTCTTGTTGACAGTTGAATTGAGTTGTTGGTTATGTTTGAAACAAGTTAGAGTTAGTTTTTCAAAAGAGTTATTGTCTGTTTCACTTCTGGTTTGCTCGAGCGATGTTGATTGAGGCCGAATTGTACGACACTGAGGCCGATAATTAGGATCTCTTAACCCTACTTGCTTGTCAAATCATATATTTTATGCATGTTTAATGTCAATTAGGTTGGAGACAGTGGGAGCATAAAATGAGCAAAAATGTAGAAATTGTAGAGAAAAATGCTTTCCACATGTGCGACCCATTCACCTCAACCAAACAGAGCTTGAAAAAATAGCATGTGCAGTGGTATTTCCCATGCGTGCAGTTGTACCTCAGGAAGCGTGCCTGATGTTTTGATGTTTTCTAACTTTGAACAAATATGAAGGATACACAAAGGCAAAAGAAATTTAGATGGAATTACGAGATTCACACGGTTCCGAATTAAGGCAATTAATACCGAAAGTGCCAACTCAAGTCGGGTCCAAGACCCGAGACATCACAACCTCCCCACCTTAGAAAATTTTGTCCTTGAAATTAAAATAAAGTAATAAATGAGAGATAATGAAAGCAGTAACAACGGAGTGAAATCAAATACTCGAAATAGAACTAAGTACCTCTGAATTAATCTAAATATTTGGAGCGAATTTCTGCCTCCCATTTTCAAGTCACCTCTTCTACCCCTATCGTGTTCCCACAATAACTCGACCTAAGGAATGGTTATCCCTCGTAACAAGCATTATCATTGATTTCGAAGTCAGACAATCTAACACACGTGAAGAGTCTACTTCACCATCTCCAAACATAGAGATATGGTACATAACGTGAAACCCAAACAATAGTGGTGTTGAGACAAGGCGACAAGCCATCCCTCTGACTTGCTCAATTGTAACAAAACAAATCTAGGTAAAAGTTTCTTGTTGAGGTTTAAAGTCTATTACGCCCTCCAAACTTAAAAGACGACACAAAATCTCATAGGGATTATAGTATATTCTTCCCCAATTTGTAACCGATAAGGTTTCCAGCTGATAAAACTTAGAGAAAAATGAAATCTAGACACCTCCAACGACGTGTAAGGAATTAAGGTTTACAAAACAACACAATACAAGTGCCCCAAAAAAATCAAGATGCTTAGCGTCACGATTTTGGATTTTCTTACAGTTACTAAAAATCTTATGTTTTTATCATGACTGTCTTGGCTTGTTCCCTGACCAACTAAAATGCTTAGCTTAGCATAGCTTTTAGTGCCCTCTACACATGGGAGAAAAATTTGAAGGGTAACCAAGAAAGAGTAATGATACAATGTACAAACTAATAAATTTTATAAATGCATAGAAAAATTTGGAGGGTACCAAGAAAGAGTAATGATATACAAACTAACAAATTTTATAAACTTTTCTGATGTATTTGTTAAATTGTCTGGCTCATATTATCATGAGAAGTATTCTATTTTAAATATCAAAATTTTATGCGATACACAAATAGTGGGTTCTATCTTTGTTTCACATGTGTCATCTGATCATGTAAAAATTATCTACGTACTTTTGTACTCTTATTTATTGCATTGCATGTTCATTTACAAATATTAATAAGTGGGGTTTGATTCATGGTGAACAATTTAACAGATACAGAATGTCGCAATGTCTTAGCATTTGAAACAAATTGTACACCCTCAAAATCATAGCATGTCATCAATTAAAACATACAAGAGACCAAAATAACATCATCTCATACCTTTAAAATTAAAGCTTTATCGAAAGAAGCAAGAAAACTTCCAGACTACAATGTTGAACCTACAAAAGTACGACTCAACTTAAACTCTTACAACATAACAGATTATTACTTGAATCACTACAACAGAGTTGATTATTTGGTAATTCGATTTGTTGGGTGTGTAAAAAATAGAGGGAATTCATATTGTCCAAATTGTGAAATTAAACAATTAGATTCACGAATAAGTCAAAATTATATACCAAGAACACATGCTGAGAATTACAACTAAATTACAACAAAAATACCCAATACAATACACTGGTAAAGAAAGCAAACCGAAGCGTACACGGTAGTAGTTTTCGTAAAACAGATTTTCGCCGTCTCACGGGTCGAGTGCTTTAGGAATTTCGGCGTTTGTCTCCCATGATACGACGGTCAAAAACCAGTTACGGCAGAAGCACTCTCTGTTGCCTAGAGAACAAAACCCGTGGCAGCACTCTCTCGCTATAGGAACTTTCTGGAAAATTGACTTGTAAAATGGAAGCAAAAAATTGTGTATTGAGACTAGACAGGAGGGTCTTAATTTATACATGTACAGGAGAGAGAGAAGGAGCCTCCAGCCTTTATAGCTGGTCACTAATGCACCGTTAACCTCTTCAATAAAGGCAGGAGTTACAAATCTCATTAATGCACTATTAAACTTTGCAATATTGCAGGAGTTACTAATTCCATTACCTCTTTCATGAAGCTAACTTCATGAGGCAATTTCTCATTCAATTCTCAACGGTTTTTTGTCATTTTGTTTGTGGTGTAAAGATCTCATTGCAAAGTATCTAGACCCACTTGAACCCAACACAATAGACGATTGAGACCCACTTTAATATTTAATTAAAGTTACCAAAAAATCATTTTTTCCAACAGTTGGTTTCATAGCAAATTCAAAAAATAGAGCTTTGGAGCAATTTTTTCACAACCTGGGTGCTTTGATATCAATTTGTTGTGCCCAAGGCCCACAAACAAACACAAACAAGAAACCAAACAAAGAATACACAAAGATTTACGTGGTTCGGCATATCGCCTAAGTCTACGGCAGCGAAATTTTCACTAAACTGAATAAAGAAATTATAAGGCTTTGTCTCTCTCCAAACCTTACCTCACTTTCTTTCTAACACTCTTGGTGAAGGCTTCATGCTCTTTACTTGCTTGCTCTTGCTTCTCACTCACTTGATGATTTGTTCCCTTCTTGAACCCCTATTGATACACAGTTTTGGGGACAATTTGGCAACTTGGCCATGGCAACTTGCTTGCAAGTTGGCTTGCAAATTGCAAAATTTCTTTGAGTTGGGAAAAAATTTCTCTAAGTCGAATTTTCTCTATGAAAATATTAAAGAATCTTAACTACTTTGAAAGTATTGTATGTCATTTATCTTATAAAATCTTAATATTAAGGATCTTTAAAAAAAATCCTCATTACAAAATCGAGTATTTTTGAAGTGATTATAAGATGGTCACATATGCTTCCTCCTGCCCTTCATTTCTCTGCCATTAGATGAGTTGTAATCTTTATCTCGATTGGTCCCTACATTTTTAAGATAACTGAAGGGCAATTAGTTCCTAGTCCAAAAATTCAACCAAACTCATTTCTTTAAAAATAAATGGTTGATCTCGGCCTAAGTTTAATACTTTTTTTTTTTCTTTTCTATTCAATATTTTAGAACAAGCAATGCTAACGTTAGACTGGGAATTGCCTTCTTCACAAAAAAACAAAAAAATAAAAAATAAATTCTTTTTATCATATCTCTTTAGTTACAAGACTAGAGCTTAATCAATTAAAACGTTGCCAAACAAACATTTTCGAAAAACTAACTAGTAAGTGCCACAAAATAGGGGGCCGAATTAGTGACTTTTATCAGATTGGTATAGTATCAGCAGAAAATTACAATAGGATTTGGCTTGTTGAAACTCGATTTGTTATGCAAAGGCATATCTAAACTTAATTTTTTGTTAATGCCCACTAAATCTATAATGTAAATATGATTAATAGCACAAGTTGGATAACACGGCTAAATAAAGCACCAAAATGTTTTTATTAAAATGAGAAAGAATGATAATGCATGGATAGAGTTCACAACAAAAATGTCCATTCGAGTCTTGTTCTATGTATTCATGCCCTCCAGCTAGAAATATAAAAATAAAAAATAACAAATGAAAGGTGGATGTTAACAATAATGTGTATTAATAACTCTTTGTCTTCATCAATTACTTGTATTTATGCTTTCTATTAGAAACTATGGGCGCTTATAGAGGTAGATCTCTCGATCGTGGAGTGGTTGTAGTGGTCTTGCATTTTCCTCTGCATACTGCAAATGTAATCAATCATGAAATATATGTCAATGCCTTCATTAATTTTGAACTATTGACATGAAACATAATCATAGCAAGTTTAAGCAATAATTACTTATTACAATCTATATATCATAAATTAAATCAACAAGGAAGTATTTTGAAAATAAAATGTGTGGATCCGATTTATTTTGAATGTATTCCACATTAATTTCACAAAATTTGAATCTATAACCTATACTTCATTTTTGAGATATTTTCAAAATATGATATTGAAATGTATAGTTTTTTTTTTTTTTATCAGTAATGAAGTAATTATTTGCAAAGTTTAATTAGATATTTTGGGGAAAAAATTGTGTAGTTAACGAGTGCACAAAAAAGCCTTTGTTAATGAAATTTAAAATGATTGTACGTTTTTATTGCACATACTATCGTGAAAAAAAATATAAAACAATTTCCAACATGTTACTACTAAGGCCAAGTTTGGGAACACCCCAAAAAGTCAAAAAGTAAAAAAGTTACTCAAAAAGTTAAAAATTTATCACTATTCACAAAAAGTCAACAATTACGGCTGCACAACTCCCAATTCTAATTTTCTCCTACAAATCAATTTTTACAATTTTTTATTACACATTTTTTCATAAAAAGTCAAAAAGTTAACTCAAACATTCATATTTTCAACCTCAATTTTTTAGTCTAAAAAGACAAAAAGTGCACTTATTTAGTCTTCCCAAACTTGACCTAAGTTTGTTTAGAACATTCGTTAACAAAATTCTTAAAAGTGTTTACTTGCACAAAAACTTGTACAATAGAAAGGGAGGATGCGACTATTGTGTAAATTACAAGTAACATAGTTGTAACTACTTACATCATGAACAGCCTCTCTGAGTAACTTCACTTGTTCTCTTGAAACAGTCATCACCTAATTCAAAATAATTGAAATTTTGGTTAAAGACGTCATTGTACATGCTTTGACAGAGAAAATGACCAGGTAAAAGCTTATGGCTAGTTAGGAACTTCAACGGTTAATGAGGAGCCTTACCTTTTTATTAATGGTCCAAACAACACCTTCAGTGCATGGAGGAACAGTGAGTGATCCCATGTATCTGTAATATCTTTTGCCACCCATTTTAATTTCTCTTGGATCAATCACCCCAGAGTGTCTCTCTTCCTTCTTATCAATCATATCTGATATATTCCTCGTCAACTGAAAATCAAAGTTAACACAACCCATTAGAAACCAAAAAAACAAAAAAGAAACAAAATTATATAAGGCTTAGAATCTAAATTATACATTATTGTTTGGGGCAAATTATGACGGTAGTCACTATAATTTCAAATGGCTTGATTTTAACTTTGAATTTATGACTTATTTCGATTTGGTTCAATTGATTACAACTCTTAGTATTTTTTTTTATTTTTTTTTATGGAAAATATGCACGTAAGTGATATTTATGATATTTTTAAGAGCAAAATTATAAATTTACTCAAGTCAGTGAGTTAATTTCAACCAATTCAGTGATAATTTTCTATCAAATTGACACAAAATCTAAAATTAAAGATCAAAATTGAATCAATTGAAAGTATAGAGACCAAAATGACGTAAGAAACAAAATACAAGGACTACCAATATAATTTGTCCTATTTTTTAAATAAAAAAAATTAATCAATACAAAGTAAAGTGGTGTAAGAAACATGACCAAGTCCAACCAATGAATATAGTTGGTTGCTTTGATAAACTGGGTGGGCAATGTACAGAAGGATCTATTCCTCGTTTAAGAAACATGACCAAACCTAACCAATTTTTCCAAAAAATGTCACCTAGAAATTAATTAAGTCCAAAATAAGGACAAGGTTTAATGAATGTCATTATTGAAGGAAAATGCTATAAAGTTCTAAATTTTTTATCAAATAAATGACTAAACGTTTCACGTTTGTGTGTTTTGTGATTCACACCTATTTGAGACATTTGATTATTTGGTATTTTTAACATTACCCTTCCTGACAAGCTTACAAGATTTTCATAGTTGATATAATGTGTGAAATTTGACGAAGTAGTCAAAGTTTAAGGAAAAAAAGAAGAAGAAAAGATTGTCATTTGACATCATGCTCTGCCCATGCTTGTGAGGTTTGATAATGAAGATGATTACCTGAGATAGAAAAGAGTCAGGCCGACCAATCCTGTAGAGGACCCCAATAACAGCAATCTTATCCTCTCCGTTCTCTTGTGGGCTTACATGTACCAAGTGCAGTTCCATGGCATACCTATTATTATTATTCACAAACATTAATTGTACCCTTCCTTCCCTAGTTGTTGATACATACTAAAATACTACTATGAGAGAGAGAGAGAGAGAGAGAGAGAGAGAGACCTTCTGCCATTGATGGAGTGCTTTGAAGGGGAGTGCCAGTGGCCTTGTTGGAGTAGGTACTCTGTGCCATTGATCTTAATTGATCCAGCTTCACCAACAGTCCATTGAACCTACATATATGGACATGAAATTTAGTATAAATATAAAAATGTAGCTAGTTACTTCAACAACCCATGTAACAAAAACATGAATTCATGTCTTCTGTCAACAAATGAAGATCAATTGCATTGGAGGGCTCATATTTAAAACTATGGTTGGGGTGGGGGGTTTATAATTTCTTTCTCACCGATATATCATGGCCTCTGTTCTTGACAGTTGCATTGGAAGGCTTGTAATTACTCACTAACACCCTTGATTTTCTGATTATTTTCACCCTCCTATTCACCATATCGATTGGAGACTGCATTTCTCCATGCTTACCAGCTGCCCATTCTTCCTTTATCTCTCCCCATCGCTCCGGACCCTTTTCGCTTCCTTTGGCATAATCAAACTCTTTCTCATCCTCTGCACCATTCAATTCACACATTGAATACATCAAAACCAACAATACTTATTGGTATGGAACAAAAATCAAATGAATTGAAAACAATCAAGCACATATATGTGTGTAGGCCATTACCAACTTCTTGAGCTTTGACTGATGTTGTTTGCCAGAAAAGAAGCAAAATGAGAATGGATCCCAAAATGAAAATGGAGTTGCTTTGTTGCTTCATGTTTGAATTTGACGGGTGAAGTATATTGAAGGTGAAAGAGGGTGTGAGAGATTGATCAGATTGTTTGATAAGAGATTGTAAGATCAGAGGCCTCTCTTATGTCTTTATATATAATACTGCACATAAGGGTCTTTATTTATATCTTGTGGTGATGGAAAGGGGAGTTTCCTCCAAGGTTCTTGAATTCAACATGTAGTGTGTGAACATAGAAATATGTATATATAAAAGTGTGTGGCCACAATGTTATTTATTTATTTATTTTAATGTAAAATTGTTATTTGAATAGTATGAAAAGGAAAACGAGTAAGCTAAGCTGAACATAAAAAATAACAAAAATAAAAGTAAAAGTTGATGAAAAAGGTAAACGAGTATTCAAGATTGATGGAAAATTAGGTAAATTACGAATACAACCCTGATTTGATTAAAATATGAGTTATTTTTTTTTATTCTGGAAATTATATTTCACTTTTGAGGTTTCTAATTTTATAACAAATTGTCCTTCTATTAATAAATTATGAAGTAAATTAATAATTTTTAATGATGTTAGAAATATGTTTCAATTAATTTAGATAATTTTATTATTGTATAGAAGAGTAATTATAAATTTCATTTTTTTAATTAATTCTGTTAAATAAAAAATTACGATAAAGAGGTGTTTGTAATTTTTCAAATTACAGAAGACAACCTATACTTTAAACCTCAGAGGTATATTTGTTATTTACCCAAAATCTTAGATGAAGCTTCCGTCCAGTTCAAAAATTGGATTGAAGGATCCAATTAAAGGGATGCAGATTTATTCAAAGTCTACCTTGATAATCCGAACATTTTATCTTTTAATTTTTTTTCGAGTATTTTATTCATATAAAAAAAATATATCAAATTCATGAGATTGGATAACATTATCTTAAAAAAATAACAGTTTATTTTTAAAATCATACTTATTGCATATTTTTTAAGAGTAAATTATACTTTGTCGCTTTATGTTTATTCATTTTTTTCACTTTGGTCTTTTAAGTTTATTTTTTCTCACTTTGATTCTTCATGTTTCAAATTTTTCTCAATTTTCTCTAAAATTTAACCTGTGTCCAAAATGAGATAAAAAATGATAGATTGAAAGTCATATGGCATAAAAATATTTTATTAACACATTTTACACAAACTCAAACTCCAATATGATAATATATGTTTTAAATTATGTGATAGTTCACATGATATTTTTTGTCTAATTTTGAACCAAAAATAAGTTTTAGAAGTAAATTGTGAATAATTTGAAACATGATGGGCAAAAGTAGGAAAAAACAAACTTGAAGGGCCACACTAAAAAAATGCTAAAACATAAAAGGGACAGAGTGCAATTTACTCATAGCAACCTTCCAAAATCTTCCTCCTGTTAAGATTAAAAATATTATACATATATATATATATATATAATGCATTCCAAATCATCTATTCCCTTCTATGCATCTTTCTCTGTCTCCTTAAATTTTATAAGTTTGTGATACCATATTTGCTGATAGGAGTGTAAAAATGGCTCGTGGCCTCTAGGCGGCCCGAAACCCGTCTGCGGCTTATGGGCTGGGCCCAAGCCCAACCCGTGACCCTGGGCCTAGGCCTGGGCCATAATTTTGAAGCCCAGCCTGCTTAAGACTCACTCAAAGCCCGCCCGAGGCCCAATGCCTTTTTTAGTAGAAAATAATAAAATTTTGATAGAAAAAATAAAAATAAAAAACAAAAAAATTGTTCAAGCCCGTCCAATCTACCGGACCGAATACCCCCCGGGCTTGGGCCTAATTTTCTGACCCTTAGGCCGACCCGAATTTTGGCTGAAGCCCGCGAAACCCAACATAGGCTCAGCTGGGTCAAATTTACACCCCTATTTGCTAATATGGACAATTGCATAAACCAATAAAATGTAAGTGAACAAAGAAAGGAGTATAAAAAAGAACAAAAGATCTTGATTCTCATAGACGGTCATGTTATAGTACAAGTTATGACATTTGTATGATTGATTATTGCAATTGTCATATTCAAATTCTTTATAAGTTACAACTAAAATAAGAGATGTAATTAAACACAATATAAGTATAACTAAAAACTTTTTTTTCATCATAACAAAAATATTGTCAAAACAATTAATCATAATTAACTGAGAGCAGATGGTTACATACTCCCACATAAATTTCCATAGATTGCTTTGCTATCAAAAAGACTATAAATCCAGAATTATTTACTCAAAATTTATCAAGAATTGAGAGGCTTCTCTCCAGTGCACTGTGTGGACTGAATCATACTGTTGGGTTTGTGGGACTTACTAAGGGTCTCGTTTCAATGATCTGAACCGTTCAATGTGTAAAGTTCTTCGAGTACTTTATGTCTGAAAGAAAATTATGCTGATAGAATATTTGTAGTCCCTTGATCAAAACATATTTTTGTCAATGACAAATATGATTTTAAAAATATATTGTTAACAAAAATGTGTTCCGATCAAGTGGCTACTGATATCCAATCAATGTGATTTTTTGCAGGCATGAAGTACTCGACAAACTCTACATATTGAACGGTTTGGATCAATTGTTCAAATTCATTTCACTCATAAATCTTATAATTTATCAATATAATCTCCACCACACGTACTCACTGTGAGTGAATTCTGAACCCTAGCTTTTTTGTTATGCTACAAGCAACAAAAATGAAGGACCGCTCAGCTAGAATTCCATTAATACGGTTAAAGACCTGGAAGGGTAAGGTCAATTTGGTTGTATAAATGCCTCACCAAATAAAATAAAATGTTGTACCTTGGCGTACTTTGTTTTTCATTTTGTATTTTTCAATATAAAATAACGATAAATCAAAATTAAAATAACAAAAAAAATTATCAGTCTTATATTATTCGGAAAGTTGTTATAAAAATTAGTGCAAAGTTGAGTGGGTCCTTACCTTTTTTTAAAAAAAATAAAATAAAATTGATAAAAAATGATTTTTAACTTATTTATCAAAAAAGTTGTCAAAATGTTACTAAGATTGGTATTGACTGGATCTCATATGATTTTTAATCAAAATAATCACAAGCTAAATTTGAATAATTTAATTTTTTATAATACATAAAATGAAATTAATTCTAGTAATAAATTATTCAAATTTCATTTGAAGCATAACAATTTGTTAGATATATTGAAATTTTAGATATTTACATAACTACTAGATCTCAATTAAAATTTTTAAATAATAGAAGAATAAATGTTGTAGATATTATGCATCCATGAACTTACTATAAGCAACAATAATTAAGGGACCCCTCAAATAATGAGTTCCATTAATAGGGTTACAGACCTAAAAAAGTAAAGTTTGATCACCCTCAACAAAAATAAATAGGGGACTTACCAGCCGGTCCCATGAAAACAAATTAATACCCAACAAGTCCTGCCCTATTTCAGTTTTCAATTTTAACCCTCAATGTCACACCACACGCGTGAAGCAAAGAAGATATCACAGGCGATTTGGAAACCATTCTGAGGCAATTTGTGATTTGGAAATCGAAACAAACGAAGAGATTTTCCCTAAATCTTCCATTGTTTCCAAAGAAATCACCTCTGTTTCGATCTATATTCTGATTCTGTCACGACCCCAAACCCGCCCCCGTGGGTTGAGGACATAACCGACCAGTAATCATGAGATTACCTACGGCCTCAAACCAGACCAAATGTATGTTAACAGAGTTAATGGGGGGCCAAACGAAAGCAGTTTAAAACTTTGTCCATAGAATTGTGCTTACATGGCACATCGTAACAAACCATACATATACATATTAATAACTCACAACAAAATATGTACTACACAAGGTTCTGTACATACAGGATCATATAAGTCTAAGTCAACCCAAGAAAACTATATACAATATATTCAAAGACTTCGCCCACATGACAAAATAAAACAGAATGACAAAAAGGCGAAGACGGGTCTCGTGCGTGAGATGCAAGGGCCGACTCTTCAAAACCTTTGTTGTTCCTCATAAACTTCACTGGGGCTGGGTTTGGACTCCTCTTGGCTCACCTACAATCACATGAATGATCGTGAACGAATGCCCAGTGAATAATATCAAATAAAGGAGTTATACAAACGGTATGTAGAACAACATGCTTCAAACGGCCTTGGGCCTAGTTCATATTTTCATTTATGTCAAACTGGCCTTTGGCCCATTTTTTTATTCATGTCGAAACGGCTTCTGGCCCATTCATTCATTCGTGTCAAAACGGCCTTTGGCCCATTCATTCATGTCAAAACGGCCTCTGGCCCATTCATTCATGTCAAAACGGCCTCTGGCCCATCCATTCATTCTTGTCAAAACGGCCTCTGACCCATTCACTCTATTCTTTAGATCAAACTGGCCTCTAGCCCATTCATTTGGCATAGTAACATTGTCCACAAATCGAATCAACGAACTTATAAAGCTTACATAGAAATAAGTAATTTGGACAACAACATATTTCAGATATCTTTGTTAAGATATTACTCACAGTGATCGGTTGGTTGGTTTGCCCTGGAGCTCGACCCTACACATTCCATGAACACAAAAGGGTTACAAACAATTCAATCCGTTCCAAATTCACATTTTCCTCTTTAGGCTTCATTCTTATCTCTTTAACTCAATTACAATGCTCAATGCATGCCTAAGAGTACTTAAAAGTGAAAAAGGACGGAAAACGAAACTCAGAATGCCTTTTCAAAATTTCAGAAAATAGAGTCCCCGCTCGAGCATGGACTTCCCCGCTTGAGCGGACCCATGAGGTCTGCAAAAGTGCTGGATGCATCAAAATTACGCTCGAGCGTGAAGTCTGGCGCTCGAGCTGAAGGTCCGTCTACATAGCTCCCTGCTCGAGCGTGAACTTCCCCGCTCGAGCAGACATCTAAGTCTGCAAAAATACTAGGAGCACGAAATTCACACTCGAGCGGCGGTTTCCCCGCTCGAGCGGACATCAAATTTTCTGGGTTTTCCAGAACATGTTCTTGAGCTGCAACTTGGTTTTCAAAGGCTCTAAACACATAATTTCAGCTCAAACTTCACATATACATGTACTAACATGATACAAACACTAATTCACAACATTATGAAGCTCAATTCCATGAATTACTCACATGCATGTTCCAAATTGACTCAAACTCATCACCAACACACTAATTTCAATCATGCAAGACTCATACCTCCATGATTTG